CCCCCCCCCCCCCCCCCCCCCCCCCCCCCCCGGGATCCGTCAGAGACCAACTGCCAGGAAAGAATGTCAGAAACTTCATAAACATTTGTTGACTGGGTGAGCTCGCTCTGATCGAAGGCATTGGTTTTCCTGGTGTTCTCGTTTACGAGGAGATGGGGCAATAGCACCCACCCACGCCTATCTCACGGAGAGGCCCAGAAAATGAAAGAGACAATGGGGATCAGATCCTCGGAGGGAGTACAGTGCGGCTCATTAATATTAACGACGACGGCGGAGCACCTGGTCCCTACGAAGCCACTCTTGGCCATTGAGAAATGTCCTGAGCTGATTTTTTTTTCTTTTTAATCTAAACATGGCCTCGTTCCCCAGGTTGCTCCACCTAAACTTTCAAAGTCCACCAAAACTCCCCAACTGGTAGACTTTTTTGTTTTCTGATTACGTTTTCCTTCCCTCAGCCCTTCCAGAGGCTACAGCACATTCCCTAGGACATAGTCTTGTCTTTCATAAAACCTTCTAGAAGATTCTGATATGCTTAACTGACCTCTGGATGCGAAGGCATGGCTGTGGTTCAGCAGGAGACACTGGGCAGAACTGTCCAGACTTTGGCAGTGCGCATGCGTGGTGGTCAGAGGACAACTGTCAGGAGTCAGTTTTCTCCTCCCACTTGGTGGGCCGACCTCAAAGATGGGACTCAAGTCCTTAGACCGGCAGACAGCATTTTACTCAGTGAACAATCTCCCTTGGCCTCTGGGCATATCTTAGAACTGTTTTATAAAAGCAAGCAAAGTACTCCTCAATAAATACAAGAACAAATTAATGAACAAATCTAGAACTTGGTTTTCTTTAGTTTTTAACTATCCTGTACTTTTTTTTTTTTTGGTTTTTCGAGACAGGGTTTCTCTGTGGCTTTGGAGCCTGTCCTGGAACTAGCTCTGTAGACCAGGCTGGCCTCGAACTCACAGAGATCCGCCTGCCTCTGCCTCCCGAGTGCTGGGATTAAAGGCATGCGCCACCATCGCCCGGCCTATCCTGTACTTTCTTAATCACGTGTTAGGATGAGGTCTGTTTTGGTGGTTCTCAGTCCTGACCAAGCATCGCAAACACTTGAAGATATGTTCACATCCTGCTGGAGCCTCTTACTTAGTATGCCTGGAGTCTGGCCCAGTAATTTGCATTTTTACCAAGGACCCAGGTGATGGCTGGTCCAGAAACTACCCTGAGACCCTGAACATTCTTGGTCAATGGTCTAGTTTGTTCTCAAGCAACACTGCGGTAATCCATAACACTGACGGATATCTCTGTCCGCACAGATGAATCTTTCTCTCAAGGAGTCAGTCTAGACTGGAACTTTGTTATTATACTTTCATTCTCCTCCTGCAGACATACTTAATGGCATAGGCTCATGTCTTACCTCCACCCTAAAAGATAAGCACTACCAACTATCCGACTATATTTCACTCACTGTTACAGTTCCTTGTTACAGAAAAATCAGGCTTGGAATGGGACTGGGTCCCAAATGTAAATACAACCATCAGCTCGCTTTATAGATAAAGAAGTTAAAATGCATCTTGGTTTTTTTTTTCCCAGTATCCCGCGGGCGAGCTGAAAAAGAAGACCAGTCTTCCAACCCCCTTCCTTGTACCCTTGCCATAGTGATCACCTTTTACCCCCACCATAATGATTCTTTGACAATGGAAAACTATTGACGAGTCTAAGTCCTTTTTCCCCTACCCAAGCCTATACCTCCCTATACTTAACAATCCCTCTCCACGCTTAACCATACAGATTTAGTGGGCTTTGTTTCATTTTGTTTTGATGTGGTTGCGACAACTATTACCACAATAGTCAGAATGTCCTTAAGCGTGTACTAAATATCTTATGTGCACCTCCCCCACCCCCTCCATCCTCCAGGTAAGTGGAGTCCTTAATTTTAGAATTACAAATTTAGACACGGAAGTTATTTTCCTAATACCACTAGATTAGAATTTCTGAGTCCTGCTATTTTTTTTTTTTCTGAATCCCCAGTGACTTCCATGAGAGAAAAGAAAATGATGGACCTCAGCGTGTGTATGTTGCTACAACCGCACCGAGTGACTGTCTGCGCAATCCAGTGTAAGGGAAGAACTCGGGAGATGCATGTTGAGAGTGTACATGAGGGAAAACTCTCTCCTTGCTCTCCTTTCTTGTGTTCTTGCCCCTCCAACTGCTCCTGCGCTCCACTGTAGTTTCCTCTCATAACAATTCACAGTGGTCCTGGAACTCTAACTATGCTTCTGTATGCATCCGAACTTGGATTGTCCATGCCTCGAAATGCGTACGTGTCCATATTCCCCAACAGTGTTCACGCAAAGGCCCCCATGGAAGCAAGCCCTTGCCGAAAAAGTGATTTCCAGTTATTCACAGCGACGCATCCCAGCCTTAGTTCTGACTCAGCACCTCCCTCGCCATTCCCAGTACAGCAGAGGGGGAAGCACTCAGCCAAGTCCCATTCAAGGTCGGAGCTAAAGGAATAAAGGAGTCGGGGCGTGAAACTGGTGACCCTGGCTTGCTAGCTATGCCCGAGGCTCCTGGTCTCTTCCAAGATTTCTACACTGCTCTCTAAACACACACCTCTGTGCCAGATGTTTACCCCATCCTTCAAGTGGAAGCAAGTTCCTTCAATTAGGCTCATCAGGGGAAACCCACTCCGGTTCTCTGAAGGAGGGACGGCCCAACCAGTTTGCCTAAAATAAGAATCGACGTGGTGATCGTCTGGACTCTGAAGCTGCTCTGACAGCATTTGCTAGTTGGCTAATGTCTCACCAGTAATGACCTGGAATATAAAAACAAAGGCCCTTCTCATTTTGATTCCCAACGGCAAAGAGTCCTCTAAGATCTGGGCGAGAAAGGCCATGTCAGGATGCTCATCTCAGTCCTGAGTACACTTTTTCCCACTTAAATATGTTATCAAGTTCAAGTTCTTACGTGGTGGAACACTAGAGTGCACAAACACGCATGTGCACACACACACACACACACACACACACACACACACACACACACACACACACGCTGTCTTTTCATGTCTCTACAAGAGTCCCAGAAAACAAGCCAGTATTTGTAGCACCGAACAAATCGCCCTGACATCTCTTGGGACTTTGTTTCCACTCGGTGGAAGAAATGAGCCGCTGAAGAAAAGAAAACAGATTTTCAAAATTGCTCTTGGAATTTAGACGCTAACTTGTCTTTGCTCTCTATTTCATAATCAGATTTCAAGTCTACACTAGCGCTTACACGGCGCCGCATCTGTGCAGTCCCTTTGAAATTTTCATAGTCTCATTAATTAAAGGTCTGAGGAACACAACAGGTGAGGCGGGGGAAAGAAGGTCATGCGAGAACAAAACTGTTGGGGAACCGGGTGTTTAAATTGGCTATACCTTCCAGGTATCTCCTCCAGTGTGGAAAGGCATTCCAGTCTGGCTGGGGCGGATCTGATCTAAAGACGGCGGTAACACCCTTTCCAAGTTCTCTAGAATTTGAGGGAGGAAAACCTCAACCCCAGAGTCTATCCCGAGAGAGATTTCCTGGTTCAACCGGAGACCACTAATGAGTAATCACGACAGGCCGACTTGTCGACAGTAGCTGTTCTGGCCAACTCACCGCAAGGGAACCCAGGGCTTGCGTGCTGAGTTTGCTGCCTGGCAGGCAAGGGAGGGCAAAAGGAAAATCTCGGGCGTTTGCCTGTCTCCTCCTTGCGTTTTTCTACCCCAAACCATGCCCGCCACACACACTTCCAAAATAGGAGAGGAATGTTGGAATTGCAGCCTGGGTCACTTCGAACTAGTTTTTGCTTGCTTGCTGGTTTGTTTGTTTGTTTTTGTTTGTTTTTAATTTATGAGCAATGTCTGAAGAGATGGCTCAGAAATTAAAAGCACTTTCTGCTCAGATCAAAGTTCAGTTCCCAGTACCTATGTCAGGTGGTCCACAATGCCTGTAACTCCTAGTCCAGGAGAGCTGATGCCTTCTTCAAGCCTCCAAGGGCACCCACACATGTGGATCTCTCTCTCTCTCTCTCTCTCTCTCTCTCTCTCTCTCACACACACACACACACACACACACACACACACCACTTTTTTTTAAAAATCTAACAAAGAATTACAACGAAACCCAACGTCTTACAGGACGGTTTGATGAGTAATCTTGATTCTCCGTCTGACAGGAGTTGTAATCACCATGGAAACAAAGCTCCAGGGCATGTCTGTGAGGGGTTTTGTTCATTTATTCATTCATTCATTCCTTTGTTTGTTTTTTTTTTAGATCGAGTTAATTGAAAGCTGGCTCAATCGCTAAGAGCACTGCCTGTTCTTCCAAAGGTCCTGAGTTCAATTCCCAGCAACCACCTGATGGCTCACAACCATCTGTAATGAGATCTAGTGCCCTCCTGAAGAAGAGACCTGGTCAGCCATCCTCATCAACTTAGACCATGAAACCCAATATGGACAAGTTCAACAGAACCGCAATATACGGGCTGCCCGTGCCTGCTTCAGCATTGCCAGGGCATTAATTTCATTTCCAAGTTAAGTGAGATGGGAAGACCAGCCCTAAATATAGACAGCACCATCCCCTGGGATCCCACACAGAACAGAAATGACAAGGGGAGCTGAACACAGCAGCTCTGCCTCCTGATACAGTGAGACCAGCCACTTAACGCTCCTGCCGCTGTGACTTCCCCACAACCTGTGAGCCAACACAAACCTTTGGTGCCTTGAGGGGCTTCTGGTCAGCAGTGACACAAATCGTTGGCATGACACAGGTGGAGAGAGGATCGGGACAAGACTTGATTTCAGCTCCGCCTCCCCCTCGCCCCCACACACACATACTTAAGTCAAGGACAGGGCTCAAGGTGGGGAGAGCCTGGAGACTCAGACGTTTTCCAAAGAAAGCCGTATTAATGCCAGCACGTGGCAGACTGGGTGTGAGAAGCGCGTATGTAATACAGTCCGGCTTTGCTTTCCCATGTTTGGAGAGGTTATGGTGATGCGGTCGAGGTTGTCTTCACCTTAAGTCAGTAATAAAACTCAGAACATGATGATATCTGGTAAAAGACACCAAGGCCTCCGCGGTGGCGGTCGGGTATGTGTGGAAAATGGGATCATGAGGAGCCTTGTCACGACAGGTGTTGCCGGGCTCGACTCTAAGGGTACCAAAACAAGAGGCTTCAAGAGAAGCTGAATGTCCTCGTGCTGGCAAGGCATTCTGGGTTCTATTTGTTTGCTTGCTTAAGACCTGCTGGCCCTATGAACACGGTGTGTGAACCAAAGTACACACAAAGAAACAAGTCAACAGAGAAGTAATAAACCAGGGCTGGGCCTGAGGCTGTGGCCGGAGCTCTGTTGATAGCATCCGCCCCTCGGATGCTGGAAGTCCTGGGTTCAGTCTCCACTGCGGGATAAACCAGGCTCGGAAGTGAACTAATGTAACCCCAGCATTTGCAAGGTGGAGTAAGAGAGTCAGAAGCTGGAGGCCATCATCAGCTACATAGCAAGTTCGAGACCAGCCTGGTGTGCATGAGACCTCCCGCCCCGCCCCCCATCCTAAAGAAATAATCAATAAACCAAGAATGCTTTGGGCAGCCAGGTGTG